CCAGACCCTTTTTTTGTTTTGTTTTTATTTAGAGACAGGGTCTCACTGAGCTGCTTAGGGCCTCACTAAATTGCTGAGGATGGCTTTGAACTCACAATCCTCTTGCCTAGCCTCCCAAGCCACTGGGATTATAGGCGTGCATCACTGTGCCCAGCTCATTCTTACAAATTTATTCTGTGATGCAAATTTTTAGAATACATGTAGTTTCAGATATAGTTCTGATTTGTATAAAACCATCAAAAAATTATTGTAAATATTTAATCTTCCTTCTACCGCATTTTAATGGCTCCTTAATAACAAGTGAATGCATAAATTTTAAAATTAAATACTAGCTCAGAAAGTAGGATATTTATTGTATTTAATTTTTTATCAATATATGAATATAAATCACATTCTCCAAAAATGAAGAGTACAATTTAAATAGAAAAAATGTGGCAGCAAATAGGCAATTTATATATATGAAAATATATATACACATAGGCATACAAATATATAGCTATTCTTGATGTTCAAAGTTAATATTACACACATACAAATACAAACAGCTTATATGTATGCAGGACTCCCAATGTTATCTAACAAAATCTGAAAATCCTGCCACCCTTTTAACCATAATTCTGACTAAATTCTGTTTCAGAATACATAGTTTTAAACAACTAAGACTCAAGATTACTCTATTACATCTGATATTAGCACTGTCTTTGTAGACATTCATTTGTGTATGGGTGCGTGCGTACTGGAGATTGAACCCAGGGGCACTTTACAACTGAGCTACAACCCCAGTTCTTTTTTTTATTTTTGAGACAAGGACTCACTAAATTGCCCAGGCTGCCCTCAAACATGCAATCCTAGTACCTAAGACTCTCAAGTTGCTGGGATTATAGGCGTGTGCCACCATGCCTGGCTACTCAAAACACTTTTTAAAATTACAGATTAAATGTATTAGGTGATAAGCTTTTTAAAGGCATTTCTTTTTTAGGATATTTAGAATTATTCTAAAACTTAACCCTTAGTTCTCAAAACCCTAATGTTTCATTTTATAGAAATTTATCTTTAGCTCATGTAAGAAAATGGAATCTGTCTATACTGAAATCAGAGATCATTTCTGGGACCAGTAAATTGAACCAGAAAAATCATTATCAAAATAAACTCATTTCATAATACAGTAAAATACTTAATAAGACACTTTAGAAATGGATTCTTGGTTTAAAACACACACACACACACACACACACACAATTTTAAACCATCTGCAACTGTCGGTATATTAAATCAGAAGAGTCTAGTTGATTCTATTCAACTTTGAAAGGACAAGTCCAGTCACATTTGCTTCTATCAGTTTTTTGCCTTTTATCACAGGGATATCAACACAGGGCCACGAAGGAATATCTGCCAATCTTTTCATTATGAATCAGTAAAGTAAGAACCAGATCAAGAGCTCTAGTTTAGATATGTTTTAAAAGACACATATACTACACAGTATTTAAGTAACTTAGACTCGAGCTACAAAAGCACTTGAAAAGCTATTGTCTTCAACTATGAGATTTAACATGATTGAACTAATACCATAATAACCTCACTAAAAATTGCCCTGCAATTGTTTCTTAAAATTACATGCAGATCTCCACATGAGAGGAAGCCCAGAATCTGCAATGCAGGGTAGTTCATCCAATATAGATACATATTCTTTCAAGTAGTTACAAAGGCTATATAGTTCATGACTTACACCAGGGACCTCCCTTTTCTCTCTATTCATATCTTATACCATGTCTAATAATCTATTCAGTTATGCATATGATATTTTGCTCTTGTAGAGAAAAGAACATGTGCTCACTTCAGCAGCACATATACTAAAATTGGAATGATATAGAGAAGATTAGTATGGCCCCTCTGCAAGGAAGACATGTAAATTCATGAAGTACTCCATTAAAAAATAGAGAAAAAGACCTGATTTTGTATTCAAGCCTTTGATACAGTAAGATCATTTAAATTTATTTTAAATATTATACCAAAAAAATGTTACATTTTGATAACTCCCGCTCTTCAACAACTGAAAAATAACCAGTTCTGATGCTGAATATTATTTTTCACTGATTGGGTAAAACACTCCTGGGCGATATGGGTTATCTACAAAAATGCTCCCTATGTTTACGGGTGGAGCTATGGCTCTAACTCAGTAGAGTAGATTATAAACTGATGAAAACTGATGACTTACCTTCAATTTCCTCTATTTTGTTTTTTCTGTTAGTATGTTTTAGATGTTTTCAATCTTTATTGACAAAAATCAAATCAAATGTAGCTAGAAAATGATAAGACTGTAGTTGTTTTATAGACAAAGCTGTAATTCTTGTCAAATTTTATGTCCCTCCAATTGGATATTTTGGATTTAAATAAGATTACCTCAGCCTCTCTTTTTCTTGCCTAAAATTAGCATAGTACCTTACTTGTTTACACTCTGTGGCCATCTTTTTTACCTACCTACCTATTTTGGTCTAGTAATGGTCTCTCTGTGTGACTCAATAGTTGTATAAGACACACAAAAAGGGAAAAAAATTGGTCAACTTTCTTTTCCTAAGTATCATTTTGGTTCCCTTTCACACTATCAATATTGCATTAAATAAATAAAATGTTTAAAATATAATTTATTTTTCATTCTAAAATTAATTTTCAGATAATGTTGTAACTCAAGAAAGAATTAAGTCATAAAGAATAAGTATTTCTACCTAGAAAAAAGGAAGCTTTGTAAAATCATATCAAATAAACCTCCATAAGGCCAGCTCTACTCTGACATAAGGGGAAAAAATGCTGGGTAATCTATTCTTTTCAAACTATAAACAGATGTTAGTATTATAAGTAGCAATCACATTTACCAGAATGTGTTATGGTTTGTATTCTCTTGTCTAAGTCAAGAATTCTAGTCCCACTTCCTCTTTTTTTTCAAATCGCTTTATGTTTGATTCTTTAATTTGAACTCTCCTTTTAATTCTGTGCAGAGAATCATCTTATTTTTGAAGTTATTTTATCTTGGAGCTAATAACAACTAACTACTTAAGTGCCAGCTGGTGGGTATCCACAACACACCAGGCACTGAATTTTTTATTTCTGACTTAATTCTCACAAACAGCTGGCAAAACAATGCTTTACAGACGATGAAATGAAGGGTCAAAGAAATTAAGTAATTTGCCCAATCACACAGCTAGGAAGGAACCCCACCAGGAAATGTCATAACCCACTTTTGTCCAACACCAAAGTCCCTGCTCTTTCCACTCTACCATCCCACATGAACAGCCTTTCTTTGTCTGTCTAGCTGGCAGCTAATTGTGTTTGAGACTTCATAATTGTTCAAGAGGCAGTAAGGCTATCAAACCACACTTTAGTTGCTTTGTTATAATTCAATCTTTCTCAATGTTCTTTAGTCTCTTATTTCATAGCTTATCAACTTTTAAAAAGTTATAGTATTCTTTGGTAAATTAAAAATTTCTCAAAGTGACAAGCTACTCATATCAGATACAACTCAGTATACATACTTACCGTGAAAAATCTTTGATTAATAACTAGCTTCCTCCTAAACATCTGTAGCAGCATTAGTACATCATCTTCTAATCTTAAATGAGTCTTATGTTTTTGATATTTTAACTATTGATAGTTATTTAGGACTGTCAATATATAGAGCTGTCTGGCTGCATGTGGAGAATGCTTGTCTGGTCTCAGGAGAAATGTCAAATTAAACCTATCCCCTCAACTAATTTGTGCATGTAAGTATAATCCAAACTGATTTGATTAATAGAAGGATTTAATACCACTTCTCCTGGTAATAATCAAACTAGTTTTTAAAAGAGCAGACTTAATCATCACAAAGTGTCCTAGTTAAGGGGACAAAGACAAACACTACCACAATGAGAAAACAAGAAATATATCTATTATTGTTTCTGTAAACAGAAGATGTAAAGGTAAAGTGTCAATTATCTTAGGTGGGTCCCAGGCAGCTCCAGCTCAGTTTGAAGAGCAATATACACTTCTTTTGCCTCCTTTTACAAATTCACATCTCCCAAACATCCCTCCATATTGTCTTTTGGGGCAGTGGGAGCTTTGAAAACAAATTCCAGTCAGAAGAAACTTCTACAAATAAGGCATCCTAGCCTTGTATGGCCGAGAAAGAGTTACACTTAAGGTACTATTGGGCTGACACCAACAACAGGGTAAGAGAAGAAAAAAGGCATTTGTGCCCTCACTGCTACCACTAATGTACCTCATCTTTACCATTTTTTGTATCCTTCTTTCGTCAAACACAGTTCAGGCCTGTGGGTCCTGGGTGTTTCTAATCCTGTGAGGAGCCTTAGGTTAGAACTTTTTCCTTAAAACTAATGTGTTAGGAGCATACTGTGTTAAACATCAAAAGGAGAGAAAATTCACCTTTCAGTCACTTGAAATTTTACCCGATTTGTCCCATTTCATTTTTTAAAAATAATCACCTCCAGGATACTGCTTAAAAATGCTTCTTTTCATTAAACATGATGAAATTTTGGAGAAAAAAAAAGGGCATTAAGCTTATCAAGAGTTTCAATTTTCTGATGATTGTTTAGTTCGAAATTCTGATATATAAAACATCACTGGGAAACTCAGTGGCAGTTGGTGAGTTAACCAAAAAACAAAGCACAACAAAACCTACTAACCTATTCTCCCACTGCATTCTAATTACAAAAGATTAATTTTATTCTCTGGCTTCTGTGGATATTAAAGTAGCAAAAGTATTCTCCAGAGGAAAATTTTTAAATTTAAAACAATAATTCTACAAAAAATAAAGATAATTATGTCAGTTAATAGCTATCCAACAGACAATTATTTATAGTAAAATGTTAAAAGTCATGAATGTCAAGCAGTCTTTTCAAAAAGAAGCCAAATGGAAGGAAAATTGCATTTTCATAATTATAAAATTTGGCAGATTAAAACATGAAAACAAACAAGACTTTTTGATAGACTCTTAAATGCATACTACTTACATGACACCTTGTAGAACTTTCTGGGGATCAGGGTCAAATAGCCTGTCAACATAGTGGCGACTGCTAGCTGTTACTTCCTAGAAAGTAGGGGAAAAATTATGACATCTGAAGCCATGCAAATCACAAATTCATAGCATCACCCACAACATCAAATAGCTACTTACAATCTAACCTAAGGAAGATGAAGCAAGATTCCTCTAAGTATTATTTGCTTCCTTACTATGTGGGACACTTAAGCAGGTGACTTTTCTCTCAGGTATCAAAATAAATGGAAACTGCAGTGTTCGGTTCAAAATGCCAAAGATCTTTTTCTGTTTTTCCCCTAAAGAACACTCAATTTCAGTAATGCAAATTAAAACTACTCTAAGATACCATCTCACTCCAGTAAGAATGGCAGCCATTATGAAGACAAACAACAACAAGTGCTGGCGAGGATGCGGAGGGAAAAGGTACACTCATACACTGCTGGTGGGACTGAAAATTGGTGCAGCCAATATGGAAAGCAGTATGGAGATTCCTTGGAAAGCTGGGAATGGAACCACCATTTGACCCAGCTATTACCCAAAGGACCTAAAAACAGCATACTATAGGGACGCAGCCACATCAATGTTTATAGCAGTACAATTCACAATAGCTAAACTGTGGAGCCAACCTAGATGTCCTTCAGTGGATGAATGGATTAAAAAAAAAAATGTGGCATTTAAACACAATGGAGGGTGGCTGGGGATGTGGCTCAAGTGGTACCACACTCGCCTGGCATGCGTGCGGCCTGGGTTCGATCCTCAGCACCACATAAAAATAAAATGAAGATGTTATGTCCACCGAAAACTAAAAAATAAATATTAAAAAAAATTCTCTCTCTCTCTCTCTCAAAAAAAATGACAAAAAAAAAAGAAAATCAATGAAAAACTACAAATTTTGAAAATGAAACTGGCAGAAGAGTTTGGGAAATCAACATAATTTATAGAGTATACAATAACTTGGTTCATTTTAAAGTTAGAATTAGAGAGGAAATAGTAAATATATTTTGTAAATACTTTACAAATTATTCTGAGAAAAAAAATGTGACAATACCATAAATAATAAATTGAAGAAGAAAGAAGACATCCAGTCCTCACTAAAAACAACTGTGGGAAGGAAGTCCTGCAAACTGTCAATAAAGCAGCTGGGCATTTGTGCTATGAAATCAGCTAAGTTTCTTCATTAACTGTTGGATGTCACATATGTGAGCAATAGATAGGAATGTACTTCTGTTCAGTACACAATTAAGGAGATAATATTTGGCTATGGGCCAAGAAAAGGGTGCAGACTTCACAGTCATCAAGCAGATACAAGTGGAAGTCCCTTAAGACAGTCGCAGAGGGGCTTCAATGCAAGGAGGCAGATGTAAGCAAAAACAGTGACTACAATAATGAAGTTGACATACCTTCTTTGAAGGAAACAGTTCAGAAGCAGGGTGATCTATGGGTCCAACAGAGCAATCTATCTGAACTGGGTAAAGCTGGGTAAGCGTGGAAAGTTAAGAATATAAAGAATAAAGGACAGACACTTACCTCATTTTACTTGTATGTGGGGTTTGCTCTACTATACTATTTCTTGAATATCTATTTTGGTCAGTAATACCTTTTTATATTAATTTGCAATACTTAACATTACTTAAAATGAAGAGTAACTAGTAAAACAAATTTAAAAAATAAATAAAATGAAGAATAAAGGAAAGAAGATTTTTGTCCCTTTGTGCTCTCTGATTCCCGCTAGAATATACTTACACACTGCCACCACCCATTAGCAATGAATTATCATAGGAAGAAAGAAGTAACTTTTTCAGTTTACTCAGATACCCAATTCAGTAAAGAGCTCAATGCCAAGATAGGGTGCTGGTTTATAAGTCACCAAAAATAATTCTGGAGAACTGCACAAACTCTAGTTCCATCAAAAATAGGGCTGGGGTTGTGGCTCAGTGGTAGAGCGCTTGCCAATCATGTGTAAAGCACTGGGTTCAGTCCTCAACACCACACTTAAAAAAATAAATAAATAAAGGTATTGTGTCCATCTACACATAATTTTTAAAAATTAATACACATTTTCATACTCTGAACCTGCTACCCCAATATCCTCATAGGCAACTCAAACAGTTTAGTGGTTTTAGTATGAATTCCATCTATAAAGACCAAACAGCAGAAGCAAAAAAGCAGAAGTTACAAAAAGTACTGTGCCCACCAGGGTATCATTAAAGCACTTCTAATATAAACAAAATCAGAGTTCGAAAGATGCTTATTAATTATCTATCCCAATCCCTTGGTTTACAAATAAGGTTTCTTAATGCTCTTCACCCAGATATCAGACCATCAAATGGACATAAGGACAAAGGTAGTGTAAAAGAGAAAAAAGCATATCTGTATTACAAACAGGTAGGTTCTGCCATTCTGTTTTTGTTTAGTTTTTTTGTTTGGGGGATACTGGGTATTGAACATGGGGCACTTAACCACTGAACCACAGCCCTATCCCTTTTTTATTTTTGAGACAGGGTCTTGCTAAATTGCTTAGAGCCTTGCAAAGTTGCTGAGGCTGGCTTTAAACTTGCAATTCTTCTGCCTCAGCCTCCCAAACCACTGGGATTACAGGAGTGTGCCAGTGTACCTGGCAGTATATTTGCATTCTGTTTTTAATTTTTTTAGTTGTCAATGAACCCTTTATTTTGTTTACTTATACGCAGTGCTGAGAATTGAACCCAATGTTTCACACTGCCACTGAGCCCTATATTTATTCTCTTGATTTTCTTACACAGTAAGCTCATCTGAGCATTGCGATCCTTAGCCTCTTTCCTATTCAGGGACTGATCTTCGATTTTACTGTTCTCCACATTTACTATGGCTCTATATCTCTTGTCTCCCAAAGTGGTTAAAATATCAACAAACAAAGGGAATGAAGGGAAGGGAGAGGGGATAAGAAAATAAAAGACAGTGGAATAAATCTGAAATAATTTTCCTATGTACACATATGAATACACCATAGTGAATCCCACCATCACGTACATCCATAATAGGATTCTAGTTAGAATATGATATATTCCTTGCTTATATAATTATACCAAAATGAATCCTACTATCATGTATAGCTCAAAAAGAACCAATAAAATAATAAAATAACAAAAAAGGTACAATACTTGGGTTCAAGACACATATCTTAAACAACACAAATTTCCTCCATTAATAGCAATTCTGTTTTCTCCTCTGTGTTCTGATTCATTCAATACAACAAGTACTGACTAGGTACCTATAGCAAGGCAGTGAGGAAAACATTAAAGATGAAAAATTTAGTAAGGCATAGTTCCTGCCCTCAAAAACTCATATCCTATTTTAATTGGGTTCCTACTAAGAATATAAAAAACAGAAGTACATTGAATGTAAAGGCAACAATGAGGAAGAGTTAAGTTAGAAGAATTGGGGAAGGCCTCTTAGATGAATTGGTTTTAGAAAATGACTAAGAGTGTACCACAATGGACAAGGAAAGAAAGAATGAGTCAGTGTATAATTTATAATCACAGCCACAGGACACGTGAAGCCAACACATTTACACCATCAGCAAGTATAACAGTTGGTGGTACTGAAAAAGAACAAGAGGTAAAGAGGCCACCATAGAATATATAACATAAAAGGCCCATACAGGAGATTTCAGACTGCCTTTTGTTCAGAGCTATACTAAGTGCCAAAGAAGGTGCAAGAGGACATTAAGGCAGAATGCTGCATTTATACAATCTATAAGGGGTCTGCATGCATACAAAAATATCACCTAAGGTAGCAAGCAAGCTCAGGGGATATGGTCACTTACTCAATTTTACTTTACTCTGTGCTTTTGCCTAACATACTCATTTACTTGGATGTCTGTATGGGACAATTCTTGTATTTCACTGCTTTCCTTTGTAGATCAGGTCACCTCTCCCCTCTTACTTCTCTTTTCTTTCAGAAGGCAGCTTACAAATGGAAGAACTAGATACAGAAGACAACTGGTACAGATATTAAATAGGTTGGCAAGGGAAAACACCTCTAAAAGGGACACTGGAGAAAAGACCTAAAGAAAGTGAAGGAGCACACTGTGCAGCTATTTAAGAAGAACTTTTCAGGCAAAGAAAACAACAAATGCAAAGGTTCTAAAATAGGCTTCATCTGATATAATCAAAGCAAGGGAGGCCATTACAGCTGGAGAAGGACCAAAGGAAAAAGTAGTAGGAGATGAGGTGAAAGAACAGGAGCCAAATGATAAGAGAGAGCTACAATGTCCAATATGATAGTCATTAGCCTCATGACTTTTTTTTTTTTTATTTTAGCATTTGAAATGTGGCTAGGAACTCAATTTTGTTATTTTTTTAATATTTACTTTTTTTTAGTTTTAGGTGGACACATTATCTTTATTTTACATTTATGTGGTGCTGAGGATCAAACCCAGTGCCTCATGCATGCTAGGCTAGCACTCTACCACTGAGCCACAACCCCAGCCCAATTTTGTTAATTTTTAAAACATTAATTAAAATTTTAAAAACCAAGAGTGGATTCAGTGACTAGAAAACTTTTAAGGCTACTTGAAGCATATGAATCTACTTTTTTAATTACAAATTTTATGGAATCTAAATAGAAATTGAGTATGTCCAATAAAAATTTAGCATCCAAACTGTATAAAGTACACATTAGATTTTGAAGAATTTAAATGAAAAGTAAAATAATTTCATTAATAACTTCTCACATAGATTACCTGCAGGAATTATATTTTGACATATGAGTTTAAGTAACATTAAAATTAATTTCAGGCTGGGGATATAGATATAGCTCAGTGGAAGAGCACTTGCCTAGTGTGCCTCTGGCCCTGGCTGTGATCCCCATTACCACAATAATTAATTAATTAATTACATTTTTTTCTTTAATAGCATTGGCTTCTAGAAAATGTTAAATAGAGACAAATTTGACTTGTTTTTAGATCATTCTGGTTGTGATTTTAGGAACAGACAAATGTGTAGAGAAGAGTGAGGGGTTATAAGACAGAAACAGGGAGATCAGGTAGGAGGCTATTTAAATAATCAGAA